GGGGGGGGGGGAGGGCGATGGAAAAGGGCGGAAAAGAAAAGAGGTACGCGCGGAAGAGGCGACGAAAGCGGGGGATGAATAAAGATGAAGATAACCGAGGCGGAAAGAGAGGAAAAACTGCTCGCAGCCGCGCGAAGACGTCTCTCTGCACTCCGCTGATGAAGAATTCAATGGCGGGATTGACTACTACTCCCCCCCTCGAGAGGGGGAGGACGAGGGCCATCGGGCATTATCTCTTTGTTATTCTCCCGTTTCACCCCGAGGGGCGTTTATCGCGTGGGGGAGGAAAGGGCGACCTCCCCGTTCCCGACCGCTCCCTTCTGGAAGACAAAAGGCCGCTCGCGTCCTGACGTGCGTCGCTAACTCGAAAAAATAAAAAAAAGGAGAGCCCGAGGAGGGGGGCGTAATCTTCTCCTGCTCTTCTCGCGATTCTTCCCTTTTTTCCGCGTGGTTTTTTCTTTTTTTTAAATTCAGCCGGATCAGGGACTCCGCGATATCGATATTCGCCCGGCGAGGTTCCCTCTCGGGTTCTCTCGCGTTCGAGATGAGATGCCTGAGAGGCAATAATGCGCTTTTCCTCTCCCGGTGTTTGTCGTCGGTGCCATTGTGCGCCTTGTCGGCGTTTTAAGAAAACGCGGACGGGGACGCGATCTCGAAGATGGAAAACTTACGTAAGACGCCGAGGAATATGGAACGAGCGGCTTCTAATTGAGTAGATTGTTCGAAGGATCCGATAAGTTGCTAGAACTGCACGAGGAAGTTTGCGTTGGAAACTTCGTGTTGCAAAAGCTTGATTTTTTTTTTTTTTACGCGAATACCGTGTGCGAAGTGTTAACAAATAATTTTAATGAACGACTTGATGAAACGTGAAACGGTTGAGTTGTCGCAAAAGTCGGCGATTGTGCGACAACGATTTTATTATTGTTGGTTTATTCACTAGTATCGCCTTCATTTCCGCCAAGCACGTTGCAAAATCTTTATTAAAATGCCGTCACATTTATCAGACGATTTTGATTACCCTATCGACCTTACTCAACTTTGAGCCGGCACTTTATAACTACGCGATAGCGGCGTAAGGTTGTAACTTTACATAACGCCGTTTATATGCAACGCTGTGTCACTCCACGAACAGCCTAGAAAACAATGTCATGAAAATGTAATATATTCGGGAATTCATCACGCCAACGTCAAGGACGTTGCACTGCGACACCGTTTAATTAAACCGCGAAGTAACGCGTGGCTTTTTTTTTACATAATAAGGGTCGCGGGTCAAATTAAGCATTCTTGCATCCGCTAATTAGAAAATATGGTAACAGTTACCATATTTTATTCGCATTATATTAAATAATGCGAAATTATTTTTTAGGTTTCGCGAAAAGTGTACCCGCCGCAATGCGGGCATAAACTGATCTTTTCTTTTCTTAATAATCTTAATTTAATTTTTTTTTTCCATTGCAATATCTCGGCATTTGTTTTTGGTGTTCGCGATATTGTCTCCGTATTGCGACTCAAGTTGCGGCTCGAGTTAAAACTCAAATTAAGGCTTAAATTACAGTTTAATGTTTCCTCGCTCGCCGTTGCATCTTTGCGTGCGATAAAAGCATTATTTTGCTTCGCTCATTATTACGCGGCTTCTATTTTTCTTGAAGCGTTAACACCATCGATTTATAACGACGTCAGAATTAGAGTTATTTCTACTTTGTCGATTATACGGCTCGCTTTACCGGCATCGCGAGCGGCGATTAATTGTCGCCGTCGTTTGTCTAATTAACGAACACCGGTTCGCGGGCAACGATATTTTATTACCGGTTCGCTCGCCGCTTCTCGCCGTAAATCCTAATTATTGTCGCCATTATCGTGGCGTAACGCGCCGCGTTTTATCACTCATCATTTCCGCCGTAAACTCAGGAATTCGAGTAAGGAAATCGTAGACCTTCGACGCCGGCGTTCGGTTGCGTGATGCGACCGCGCAACTTTGCCGATGATAATCGCCATTTTATTCCTTATCGCCGACGATCCGTGTTAAATAAAATTATTATCGGCTCCCCGCTAATCTCGAATTATTATCGTCACTCTCTGGCCCGCGATTATCACAATATTACTTATTGCACAGCTACTTCGTTAATGAGATTGTTGCAATCGCAATGCTAAAATATATATTTATTTTGTACGCGGATGCTTAATTTTTGCGATGGATTTTTCTTGCCCACGCAGAAATAAGTATATCAGCGTCACTCAGGAATCGATGTATCATTTCCCTTCTTTTCTATCTCTCGCCGCGTGCCTTGCGATTAATCTCCCACGAAGTCGATCATGCTCGGCCAACCTCTCCGGCAGGTCACGTCAACACGAGCTCAACCTCCGACCCGAGCGAGGAATTATGAGGCACGCTCGTTACCGAGTACGAGAGAGAGAGAAAGAGAGAGAGAGAATGCACGTGTGTGGAGACGACGGGGGTCGCTCGTTAATCTCCGCTCGATAACGCCTCTTTCACGAGGAATGCACGAAACGTACGCGTTATCGAAAGTTATTACCGCGAGTATATGAGAGAAGCGATTCACAGCCGACGTCGATGAAGTTGAGCAAATGGCACGGTTAATTGAATTCCCGTCCGAGATAATCAGCCGCGTGACAGATGCGTCGTTTCGGACGACACGTGTATCCTCCGTGCCTTCGCGCGCGGATTAATTCCGCAGATTGGCGCGGAAAAGCGGCGCGAGTCGCGCAATCGTGTCAAACGTGTCGGTGACGTGATTTACGTCAGGAGTGACCTGCCGCCGCACGCCATGTCGACGTGTCCTCCCCCCCCC